CCGTCCTTCCCAGTTCTTCCTAGCCTTGCTGTGTTGGGCCTTGGCTGTGCGCACCTTCAGCGGCGAGCCCAGCAGCGCACCAGCGTCCTCTACATCTCTCTGTCTTCTTGCCTCTTAAGTCTTGTCGCACAGCGAACGTCTCTGCCCGAATTTTGTCAAGGGGCCGGTGGATTGAGTAACCGGTGCCCTCCGCGTTCTATTCCCCGCGTTTTGTACGTCATCTTTGTCTGTGCGACGTCCCTCTTGTCTTGCCTCCTGTCTTGCTTTTCCAGCCCGTCCATCGGGGCTCGGCTCGGTTTTGGTTCTGTGGGGCTTGTCCTTCCTTGTGGACTTCCCCACGTTCCCTTCCTGTTCCCTCCTCTGTCTGGGTTGCCTCTGTTCCAGGACGTCTGCCACGTGGCTCCCTCGGTGCTCCTGCCTGCGGTCACCGGCTGCGTGGTCCACCCGCGCCTACGCGGTGCCGCCCGACCTTAGAGGCGGTTTGCGCCGCTGCGACCTGCGCTCACCGCTGTGACCTGCGCTGCAGTGCTGCCCTACCAATGCCGCACGCTCGGTCCCTGTCTGACTGGCGTCCGACGTAGGTGTTCCACGGCCTGTGCTGCCCATTGCCTGGCGGGCCACCGGGTCTTGCTGCGGAGCCTAAGGGGTTGCCTATGCTCTGGGCGTGTCGGCGGTCCGCGCTGACCGGCTTCGTAGACGGACCAGAGCGCCCGCTCGCACCAGTGTTCTCGAACGGGCGGGTCTTTTTACCCGGACGCCGAGCGTGCAAGAGAGCGCGCACTACTAGCGCGCTCTCTCTCCAGTAGCCGAAGATACGCGGCAGACGAGCCGAGCGGACAGGCGGCAGATAAGAGGGGGGTGCAGCACGCATGTGGTCTAAATTTCAAGTTTGGATCGGTGAAAGTCACATACTGCTAGCACCACTGCCACAGAAGTACAAAAGGACAATCATAGGCAAAAGTAGACTTTAAAATAATTTTGTAGTTTCCGTTTTCTTTCAGAAAACATTCCACCAGCGCAAGAAGTTCACCTTTCTCTAAGAATTTCTTAACACTTGCTGGTAAAATTAAAATTTTGACTTTACAAATTCGATAGCTTTTTCCAAAGAGAGCATATGACATGTTATTGTTAAATATGTCATGCTGCATTCTCAAAATATCGCGATTGGAGCGGTTGACCCCCTACTGTCACCTTCCCGCTCGGCGCGTTCGGCAGTGGCGAACTGCCGGGTCCCCAAGACCCGGACGCTTCGGACCCGACCCGCCCGCCCAGGCGCGGGTCGGGTCGGGTCGGGTAAAACGTCCAGCTAGCAACGGGTCCAAAAGTGACGGCATTACCCGCCCGTTCGAGAACACTGGCTCGCACCCCTTCAGTCAGCGCTTTCGGGCGCGCGCCACTGCCGGTGCT